CTCAGCCGTGAGGCCGGAACTGGCTGCGGGGTAACGGTGAGGGTTGTATCGCTGCAGTGTGTGCTGTGCGGCAACTGCAGCGTGAGACCTGGGGCAGTGACACCGAGTCACGATTTATCACTGCAAACATAATAACTATAGCAGGTGGTCTCGGCCTGTCAGAAAATTACTTTGTCTTCTGTTCTTCAGTTTCAAGCCTTTCAAAATGATAGGGGTAGTGAAATCGGGTTTTCCATTTGTTCATTTTAAAATAATTCTCATTTCAGTGGAATCAATTTTGAAATTATCATCGTAGATGATGGAAGCCCGGATGGGACACAGGAAATTGCTGAACAATTGGAAAAGATATATGGATCAGACAAAATAGTGAGTTGGATATTCTGTATTTGTTTCATTCTCATTGTATTGGAAAGTACTTAAAGTCTTTTGAGAACTGGAATGGAGTCTCAGGTTTCTGCACTTTACATCCTTAAACAAGTTACTTAAGTTTTTCCACACCACTTTAGACAGATGTAAAATCACGATCGCCTTGCAGCTGCTTAGCAGCATTATGAACATGCAGAATCATGAATTGATTGCTGTGTGCTACTGAGTAATGAATAGTGGTTGTCAGTGTACTTTGTGCATGCCTGAGGGAAAGATGAGGTTTGGATAAACTTCAGTTTCATTTTAAGTGACTGCAGGAATAGGGAAATTGGAAAGATGAAAGCTAGTCTGGTCTTGTGATTTATTTTTTATCTGTCTAGTTGTGTTCCTCAATAGCAAGATTTTCAATATATTACTGTATAACCATCAATTATATGCAACAAGATAATATCATTTATTTAGTCTTTATGAGCCATTAAAGCCACCTTTTTTTTTTTTAAATAGAAACTTTATCATAGAACAGTGTAAAAACCCAATGTTCAGTTTGACAGTTTTGTGCTGTAAGTAGTATCAGGCACCTTCCTAATCTGTGACTGTGTAAATACAACATTTTTAAAAGCATTTGCGAATTAAGTACCATTTATAGAGATTGTTTTAAGAACAATGCATATAGGAAGTTTTAGAGTCTTTTTTTTTCTTTATTTACTCTAGTTATGTAAAAGTTTAAAATGGGTCGCCAACCTTTCCTCACTGCTTAAGGGTTTAATTTTGAAAATTAGTCTGTGGACCAGTGCCTGCAGCAGTGTTGAGCCAAGCCCACTGCAGTGGAGTTACGTGGAGGCACCACCATCAGCTCCCACTGGTGTTACTGCAGAAGTGTAAATCAGCTGTGATTTCTCATTAGGTCAATTTTGGGTTTTTTCTGTTTTATTTTCTTTTTTAATCTGAAATTGTTTTCTCTGTTTCCTGAGCAAAATCATTGTTCTGATTTGTGCTCAGGAGTCATCATCCAAATAACTCCACTGGGTTTCTCACTACATTATGCTGACTGAACATGGTGTGTAGTTAACTTAATGACAGGCCAACATGTTCAAGGAAGAAGATGGGGAATCAAAGCGGGGGTTTTTTGTTAATGTTTAAATTGGAGAAACTTGCTAAAATATTTGCTGTTAGTATTTGTCATGCCTTAAAAGTAATGGTGCTGGGGAGACTGTTATTCAGATTTATAACTGTTTTTCAGGTGGAATTTGAAGAAATTCTTTATTGACTAAGATGGTGCTTTTATGTTGTTTTTTTATTGCAGAACTACTACGTAAAGCTTAAAAGGGGTTTGTTTTTAAATATGACCTGACCAAATACCCATTTAATGTAACAGTTTGTTTCTCCCATGTTTTGACAGAAATTTATTTTCTTATGTTATCCAAATTTCTAAAAATGAAAAGTACATTTTAGGATATTATTGTACCTTGAAAATAGCAAATTTTAAGGTGCTACTAAAATAAATTTAAAACTTTACTTGAAGTAATATATGTATATTTTAATACATCCTGCAGCTTCTAAGACCCAGAGCGAGAAAGTTGGGCCTCGGTAAGTCCTTATTAACTCTGGTTAGTACTGAAAAAAATAATTAAAAATAAAACACTGCTTGGATTTATTCTAGTGGATGAAGTTCCAGAAAAAGATCACAGTAAAGCCCCAGAGCAGAAATACAAGTTTTCAGCAAGCGTTCTGTAAGCAAACAAGCTTTAAAACCACACACGTAAAAATCGCAGAGTATTTATAACCCGTTCCCCACAACTTTAAACCTGAAAACTGTGGTCACTACAGTTCTGTTTTCCTATTAGCATCATGCTGCTTTTCTTCCTCCCACACTGCGTTTACTGATTACAGAATGAGGGGTCTAGATTAAGAAAAAGTGTTACTTTTTACAAGAGTAGCCGCTATGTTTTTGCGGAACCTACTGACCAGGGGGGCAGTGGTACTTTCTGTGCAATCTGCCCATGGGCAGGATGCTTCAAAAATTGGACCATAGTTTGTGCAATCTCCAGAGAAGACTCAGATGTTTTTCTGACACGTATTTGGACAGAGCTTTTCACAGTTAACCCATTTCAGTGTGAATTATGACTATTAAGTTTAAAAATACATAGCTGACTGATGTCCAGCACTCAAACTACTAAAGTATCGCCTCATCTATTAACTGACATGTGAATTGAAGGTTTTGATAGTCGTGTTGCAGAAATCTCACTAATTTGGGAGCCAGTTGTGTTCCACTCAGATTGATCACTAAAATTGGCATGGAATGATACAGGACTGCCATTTTACAGTTCTGATGCTGTATTTCACAGAATATGTAAATCAAGTTTGTCATTATTTGCTTTAGGAAAAAAGCAGATATCCTAGGAAGTCATAAATTACCTTAAAATTTTCAGTATATCAATTAAAACTGTAGTATGGAAACTATCCTAAAACAAAGTGGAGGTACTTCCATCTGTTAAGATTCATGTTGCATCCTTATCCCTCTTCTCTTATAAGAAGAATGGAGAAAAATATAAAATGCAAGTCAGTATCTGCCTTTCTTGCTAAATGTCTTGGCAACCCCCGCTTCTGTGTGCCGGTAAAACATCTGGGGGGTCTTGTGTACTGAGTACTGCAGCTAACAGATTTGTTCAGTCCACTGGACAAAAACAAAATTCTGATTTTGATACTGAATTGTCTATTTAAATCCACCTTCCTGTACTTTTCTGCATCTCATTTATCTAAAACTAGTTTAGCTCCCTGTGGGAGTGCCTGCTAAGGACATCAGTTGAGAGTGTTTTGTTTTCAGTTTTATCTGTACCTTATGAAGTTAACAGAAAGACCCAAGACTAATTTGGATCACTGAAGTGTCTATGCCAGTTTTTAATCTCTGTTGTGCTGCAGTGCTGTCTTTGGATCAGAAATTTGCATTATTGAGGAAAGCTATAATAGCATATCTTGTTCCAGCTCTTAGCGAAATGACAGCACCAGTTCATACAGGATAAATAAAACACACGAAAATCTAAAGTAAGAAGAAAAAAAGATGTCTTCAAATTGGGTTTTGGAATATAATTCATGGTGTCAAGGAGAACAACCCAAAATCTATATACCACTGATAGTAAATTCTGAGTCTAGAAATCAGGCTTTTTTTAACTATCAGTGATTATTTTGTTGTCTGTGTCCTATTTCTAGTTTCCTATGGCTCGCAAGTGCCTGTGGTGCTTCTGAAAATGATACTTCAAATAGTCACCCACTTACCAAGTCATGTTTCTCTGTGCATTTCTAGTGCAGTAAGGTTTGCCAAGGTTTATATTTATAAAATCTAGTGCTGAAATTGTAGGG